GAACATGACCAAACCCTAAACCCTTGCCGCTGCAGCCCCACCAAATCGAGCCGTGAACTCCCATTGATGCATTAAACCCCTGAGGCCGGAAAGCCCCCCCAAACACCCTACACCCTGAACCCGGAAAGCCCTGAAAGCCCTGAAGCTCTAGGGCCCAGAAGAAAGCCTGAGAGCAGAAGATGCTCTCAAGAATCCGAGGATGAGCCGCCGCCATCGAAAATCTTTCCCATCGAGCCGGGCCCCTTAGGGGCTTGGGGATCGGTCTGGGGGAAGGAGGGGTTTTGGAGTGAGGTTTGGGAGGGGTTTGGGAGGGTTCTGGTGCGCTTTGGACCTTTGGGGTGGGTGTAGGTCTGTTAAAAGATCATTTCGGGCTTATCAAGGTGCGGACTCTCGTCTTCATACCTTTCACTCTTCTGTGGCCGTGTGTCTCTGTCCTGGTCTTGCTTCAGCGAGGGTCTCTCGAACTTGCAGCGTGTAGGGCTTAGGGCTCAAGGTTAAGATTCAGGATTTGGGGCCTAGGGTTGGGGCACAGCATATTTCAGAATATTGTCTCGGTTTATTGTGCAGGCTTTGGGCCTTCGATTCCCGAAGAGGGGATTCCGCAGGCATGCTCTCCTCACAAATTGGCAGGGTTGCTGGATGTGCTGGTTCTTTCCCTAGAATCCTCAGGTCCATCAGTCTGCCACAGCTGGTGGACCCTGAAATTGCAAGTAAACTGGGGAGGGCTCCGTGCATCTTCTCTGGGCAGATGCCAATGGGCCTTTGGTGCGCCGCTAGTTTGGTGCGGAAGGTCCAGTGCCCGGGTTTTGCGCTTGAGGGGGCAACCGACGCCTGTAGCAACGAGCGCCTAAGCCGTGAAGCATATTATGCTGCTTCTTCCCAAGCGTCCCAAGCCAAAGGCGGTGTTGTGGGGGCAGAATCAGAAGCCTCCGCTTTCCGATTCCGATGGTGAACTCTGCTCTTAACCCCAGCCCCAAGGGATGCGGAAGAAGACCTAGCCCTGCGAACTTGAAGCCAGTATATCGTTACGACACCTTAGAAAGCCCAATGCAAATTCCATCAAATCGTAGAAGCCGTTACAAACCCCGTATAATCTGACGGAGCCAGAATATACCTCCCCACGAAGCTTTGTCATAGCAATCGTCTTGATCGATGCAGCACTTTGTGCAACATCAAGCAGAACTATTCGAGAATCCCGTCCGACACCCTCACTTTCTTCGGGGCTGCAAAGCGCTGAGGCTGTTTATCTGCTGTCCCACAGCTGCCCTAAGCTCGGCAGGGAGCTGTCGATATTTCGGGTCTAAACGTATTTTCCAGTTTTTCTCCCGAACTTTGAAGTTGTCGGGTTTGTGCCAAAGAGTGGTCGAAATCTTGTTCCTAGACAAGGGTTTCGGCCGCTTAGTGCAACTTCGCCATAAATTCAATCGTTTAAACCGCTGAAGCCGGCGTCACCAGCCTCCGCAAATGTCTTAGTAAGGATGACTGGGTAAGCCGGCCGGTTTCTCGATGAGACCGGTCGTCGTATGGCTTTGGCGCAGGGTGCTGGATCCGGAAAGCCCTTCACATCAAGACCCCAAGCCCTTAAGCACCGAAAGTTCAAATCCCTAAACCTTCAACTCTAGTTAGGACCATGAGACTAACGCGCCAAGGTTTCTGCTGAGACTTCATCCTAAGCCTCTCACAGTCTCCCCGTTAAACAAACAGCCCTGAGCAGTCGAAGCCTAAACCCCGAACTCGGCATTAGAGTTTAGGGTTTAGGGGCGCGAGATTGGGTGCCCTGAACCCTGAGACCTTGGGAGCACCTCGCTCGAAGACTCATTCTGAGAGTTTGGGTCGCTTAGTTCAGGGCCAGGGTAAAGCGCACTCCTTCGGGAAAAGCTGTACAGCCCACTACCAAGAGGTTGGACTTTAGAGTGCAGAGTTGCAGCGAAGAAAGCCACTGCCTACTTTACTGGTCACAGGAATGAAGGAACCCTGGAACCAACCTGCTCACATGGTGAACCCTGATAAGCCCCCAAAGCCTTGAGCTTTTTGCTGGTCAACCCTTTCAGGCCTGAGCCTTAACCTGTTTAAGTCCTGAACCCAATTATCTCTCACCCTTTCATGCCTCAAAGCCCTCAACCCCAGTGTTTAAGACCACCCTAAACCTTAAAACCCTAAAGCCCCAAACCTTCAATGCCTTCACCCACTGCGCGGTGTTTCGAGTGCTCAAAGCCAAGCTCGCTCAATCCGAGTGTCCTCGACTGTCCTGAAACCAGTGCCCTGGCGTCGCATACGTTGAGAGCTTTGTTTTTGCTTTAGGTTGTGTCCTAAAACCTAATCCCCAAACATATGTGAGTCCCAGGGCGGTTCCTACTGCTCTTTAACTGAGCCCACGGCCAACCCTAACCCCTAACCCCTAAACCCTAACCTCGAACCCTAAATCTTAGAACCAGGCGCAGAACTCGGAAGGATAAGCCGCAGGCTGAAAAGATCAAACTTCATTCAGCCTCGAAAGCTTTGAACCAACCCAAAGCCGTGCTTAGAGTTTGGGAGTTCATGGGTTTACGGCTTCCGCTTGGGTTTTTCGGGAGCCCTTATTCAGCCAAGTTTTGGAAGAACTCCACAGGCTTGACCAAGAACCACAGGAAAAAGGCCAGCCTGGCGCTTTGACTCCTCATCCAACACCCGAAAAACCAGGGCCAAGAGAGCCGCACGAGTGCATGCTCTGAAGACCACAATCTTTAGAGCATTTACAAGCCAGCCAAGGACGAATTACTATGTTCGAGACGACCCATATGAAGTTCCTCTATCCCCAAGCATGCTACGCTCGTAGCAGCCACTCACACAAGAAGGAGAGATGATTGGACTAACTGTAACTAGCCCAAACCCACCAAAAAGTAGGATTGAACCCCAGACCCATTCACACTACAGCGAGGATTGCAGATGCGAGGTAGCGTGTGACCATGCCCCAAACCGTGTAGAAGCCGGGGTACGGACACCATACTTCCTGAGTCTGGCAATTGAAAAAGTGGGACTCTGAACCCTAGGCCTAAAATGCACCCCGAAGGCAAAAGGCCTCTAATTAACTCTGGAAGCCATTACCCCTTGCCTTTCAGTGAGGTGCGCCCTCTTCGCGAGGCGCCTCCGCATCGGCCGTTTTGGGTTGGGGGGGAATTCGGTTTTTTGAGAAAGTTCAGGTGATCTTTAATTGAAGGCTGAGGGTTCAGGTTTTTTTTTTAACCCGGCTTAAGTAGGGTTTAGGGGTCGAAGATCAGAGTTGGGGGTTGAAAGGTTTGGGTGGTGTAGACTGTAGACCCGTGGTGTCATGTCAGCAGCTCTGGGACACAGGACTCTGCACTCTACAACTTGACACAGGCCCACAGTGGGCCCAGGGGGGAAAATGTCTTACCGCCATCGGAGGTTCCCTGTGATTCTCATCACACAGAGCTCCGATCGGGTTGTCATGGCTCCAACCGGCTCCTCCCAGTTGCCCGGCTTTGAACAGCAGTTTATGAGGTTTAGGGCTTTGGGGCCCTGAACCCTTAAACCCCAAACCCAGTAACTCCAAAACCCTGGACCCGGAACCCGTGTTTCTGGGAGTTGGGGGCTTTGCCGGTTTAGGGCTCAGGGTTCCAAGTTGCACCATAAGCCAACCCCGAAGGCTAAACCCGTAAACCGTGATGACGTCAATAGGACCCGTCATAAGTTATGGCCCTATATGGGTATCAAAACAAGAAGGAACATGCAAGAATGGAAACGCACACACACACAAACCACACCCACACGCATGGGTCTAGAAGTCAGAATACCCCTTACGCAACTTGCAATGTGCCATCTATGGGGTTGTGCTGGTCAGGGTTTCTGACCCCTAAGCTGTCAACCTCACAGGCTGAACGCCCATCCATCCCAAGTATAATTACTTAGACTTGCCGTACAAGCTTCATTCCCTAAAGAGAAGAAGTCTCCAGAATGTTGTACCAAACCGTGACCTTCGCACCCTGCACCCTGACGATGTACCTTTTCTGGCCTGTACCACAAACCCCAAACCCTGTAACCCGCCCTCAACTCCAAGCCCTCCGAGGAAGTCCTCAGCGACCGTGTGGGGAGCTACAAAGCGCTGTGTCGTACCTGCCGGAGAAGCTCGTTATAGAAAGCCAAGAGTGGTCTTAGCAAGCCGGTTTCAGCAAGTTTCGGGGTCTTTACATATAGACAGTAAATTTGGGAATCCTACAACCTCAAGAAACTTCTGCGGCTTCCAATCAAAAATCAACTTGGGCTGAAGTGATTCCACTACTACCAGGATAAGTGTTCATGTGCAGATTGATTGCTATTGTATTTGCAACACTACTAGAAATCATTCCTGTTATTCTGAGTGTCTTGGACTTGGATCTTAAAGGAAGGTTTTCCACCCGGAGCTTGTGCTTGGGGTTTTAGGGTGTTGTTTTCTGTTCCGCTGCGTGGCGGGGAAGAGCCCTCAGGGGGCTACGCACTTCAGGGTTTGGGGCTCTGAGACCTTGACGTTTCGAGGCAGAGCAGATGCTTCGGGAAGTTGTGTGTTTGGTAGTTTGACGTTTAGGGCCTAGGGTTTTTGCGGTTATGTGTTTAAAGGTTGTGGTCTAGACATGATGAGAACCTTAGACCCTAGAACATAACATATGACCACAGGCAACACCTGCTCCAGAGTTTTAAGCTGTAGACCTTCAAACCAGAAGCCCGCCCTCAAGGCCTGAATCCTTCAACCCTAAACCTGAAACGCCCCGACCCAGACCCAGAAACCCCCAAACTCGAAACCCGAGCCGTTTGCTCTGCGACGACCGAGGATGCCATGGCTGGCCACATTGCCCATCTGAAGGAGTTTAGGGCTGGAGTTAGGGGTGTAGCCTTCGAGGATTTGCTAGATTGATTACGCTGACTCTGCTTCTTGGGTTACTCCGAGCCCCGTCAGTCTGCTTATTCACTTATTAGGTTGTCGGCCCGTACGGCTTGAGTGATGTCGTGTAGCACTGCCCTGGCAGGACATGGGTTTCTGTGAGTCGCAAGCCAGGAAGGCACTTGCAGAATGTGTGTGGGAGGCTCGTCTGACCGTGGAGGTCCACATTACACCGCTCGCCCTAAATTACCCGAAGCCTAAGACCCAAGCTCGAAGCCCTGAAAGCCGGAAGAAAGCCTGTAAAGGTTTGTACAATGCGCTTCTGAAGCGCTCTGTATGTATGTGTTCTCGGTTGATTGCGCCAGGTTGAGTCTCACAGCTATCCACACGAGTGTCAGTACTTGCCCTTCATTTCCTGCACTCCTACGCCCAAGCCCAAACACGTCCTAGCTTCAGGCTTGTGTTTTCAACCTAGGGTTTGGAGCCAACCGAACAAAGGACTGCTACACATGCTTGGTGTACACTCCGTGTGGGCTTTGAGCATATCTATTCGGGTTAGACCGGTCTTGAAGACATTGACGTGGAGCCCTCAAGCTCGCCACTGCACATGACTCCATGCCCTGCGCACTTCGCTGGATGCACTGCAGCCGAGGATGTGAACAGGGCCATCGACCTCCTCGTGTCACGAGGGGCCGCAGTGCCTTGGACGTGAGGGCAAAATGCCATGACCCAAGGTTGCGATGATCCCACCATGATGTTGATGATGGTGAGTAACCTGTTGTGATCATGACTACAGCAGCGATTCTGCAGATGGTGATGATTTGTGCCCCATTCGCATGGAAGAAACGTTTGTGCCGCAAGCCCAAGTAACTTTCAGACACCTAGTTGGAACTATTGGAGGATGGTGTAAAACACGCGACGCTACGATTTGCTTTCGTTGTAGTCGTGGCTATCTACGATACTGACAGGAGGTTTGACTGAGAACCACTGATGGCAAAAACGCAAGATATCTATAGTATGACGAGTACTAATGGCAGTATCACGAGGACGCTAAGTCCACCAAGTATGACAGGCGTTTCAGAGCTGCTTTCACACGAGACCCCGCGACCGAGGCATTGGCAAAGCCCGCGCTTCCCAAGGCAGGGGCGAAGGACAGCAGCCCTAAAAAAGGCACCGAAGCCGAACTCCGAAGCCGCAAAGCCCGAAGCCCTAAACCCCAAAGCCCTGACTTGCTGGATCCTTGAAGCCCCTAAACCCTAAACCTTATAAACCCTAAACTCCCTGAAGCGATGAAGCTCAGCTGCAAAGCCTTCAGGAGAGCAGTGGAAGCAGTGATCACACCGAAGTTGTGTCCAACAAGGGCATAGACTTGGAGACTTGGTGCTTTTTTTCGTTTTCAGTATGTGGGTAGCTCTGTGGAATAGAGTTTATGATCTGTAGCTCTTGGGAAAAGTTTATGGTTTGAGGTTTCAGCTATCTGCGAGGAATGCCGGGTTTGGGATGTGCTTCAGTTTTCTCAAAGAACTTTGGGTTCGATGCTTCAAGCAAATGGTGGGCTGAAAACCCGAATCTACGGCGACATCCTAAAACCCCAGCCGGACACCAAAGGACAACTCTAGCACTGCTTCCGGGGTCTCAACGCCGAGATGCTGCGCGAGCTCAGTCGCGCCGGAGTCTGGTCACGGGGAGCTGAAAGACGATGAAGAAAGGAACAAGAGGCTTTGATGAGCTTTGGGATTTTGTTTAAAGCTTTTCATCTAGGGTGGGTCGTCATGGGTCGTCTTTGACGGGCAGAGTGTGTCTAAAGCCTAAAGCGCCTGCGAGCCCGGGCCCAGGAGGTCAATTCGACGAGTTTGCAGAAAAGTGACGTCGCAAGACGCCCAGCAGCTCAGTGCCGATCCCGGGGAGTTCGTTCGTGTCTGGCCCTTCTATGAGACGGAGTTGGGATGGATCTATGCCGAGGATCCTACGGATGCGTCTAGGGCCGGGTGGTTGCCAACTGCGATCCTCGAGAGCATCGAAGCTGGCCATGAGTGGGTCTATGTACAGAAGGCAATGCCTGCCCTTCACGCGAATCAGCTGGGGGTCGAAGAGGGCGAGATCCTGAAGATCAACCTCGCTTCTCGTACGCCTGAGGGATGGGTTTATGCACAGAAGGAGAAGACGGAGGCTGGAAAAGTTTCTGGATGGGTTCCAGTCTGTAGTTTTGTGTGGAATAATCCACAGTAAGACGACAAGGACTTGAATTCGACACTGGCGTAATGCCAGTAGGAGTAGTGAAACAGGGCGGGCAGGCCGGCTGAACAGTTTTGCACTTAAGAGTTTCGGTACACTTCTCTCTACGTAGTGGGAGCCCTGGTGGCTCTTGACACCTTGGCCAGCCAAACTTCCCAGCTCGCCAGAGCTACTCCCTGTCTATCTGCACCACGCAGCTAACGCAGATGCAGGGCAGTGCGCTTTCGAATACCTCCGAAGGCGTGCAACCCCTCCCTCGCACCTTTGCTGCACCGCGCAGAATGCAATAAACGTGTTCTCTGAAAAGGCCGTCAGGGTTCCTACCCCAAGGATTACTTGTCCCAACTCCTGCACACCCGAAGCACTGAAACCTAAACCCGACGGGCAGAAACCCGGAGGCCTAGCCCAAAATCCTATTGTAAGCCTTACAATGCCTTGGCAAGCTCTTCAAGTGATCAGCGTTTGCTGTTCTTGTCTCCTGAGCCTGAGAGATCATGCTGAAAGAAATTCTGTTTGGGGAACTACATAAGATCTGGGTTTTTGTGATTTCTCTTTACAGTTTAGGGCCCTGGGCTTAGAGTTTAGCTTCAGAATCTAAAGTCTTGAGATGTGGGCATCACGGCAGAGAGGGCAGGCTATGTGAACCGTCCACCCTTCAGGGTCGGGACTTGGGCTTGAGTCACGTTATGCCGTCAACCCTAGACTCAGACCCTAAGCCCTAAGCTTGAAACCTAAACGTCTAAACCCTAATCCACCACGGCCCCCTTCGAGGTGAAGGCGCTTCTGCCGGGCACCTGGCTGAAGTTACAGGCCTGGGCGAACGGTTTAGGGTTAGGGTCGAGGGTTTCCGGGCTGCAGGGGTTCAGGGGCGGCTTAGAGTTTGAAGTTTGAGGGTTTATGGGTTTTGGGGGTGGGGTTTTGAGAAGGACTAAGAAGGCAAAGCCCTGAACGATTGTACCGGGTGATATGACCAGCAGCTGCATCAGAGCAACGTCAAGCCTTCCTAGAACGAGGCGAATAGATGGTGCCAGGAAACATCCGTGTAATCTACCATATGAGGATCTTCTCACACCGCACCCTCAGCTTCGTTCCTCACATAGAGCTGTTCGCACTAGCGGCCATGCGCCGAAGGATGCAACGAAAGCCCCGGACCTCCTCGGTCCGAGAACCGCGTGAAACCCAAATGCTGCGTTTGGGTTTGAGTATAGCGTTTCGGGGTTTGGGGCTTTGGGGGCTCGGCGGTTTAGCGTGTCGGGGTTTTGGCACAAGCCTGCCCTCTGGAACGCTGCGGCCCTGCAAGCTGAACCTCAAATCAGAAGCCGGGCGGGGAGGACTGGACACATTTGATCCTGGTGGTGCGGCGCCCGGACGTGTGGGATTCGAGTTTTAAGTGATTAGGACGTCGAGGGCTCTGGAATTTTGGGGTTTGGGGTTTCAGAAAGCGGCCTTCCGCACGGCGGCTGTTGGTACAGATTTTTAGGTATTGTCCAAGAGCTCTACGGCTCTACGGGGTGAATCTTGGAATTTTGCTTGTAATGCTTACAGGGCTGGGGTTTCGAGGTATGCGTGTATCCCGAAACGCTAAACCCTAGCCAGATACCTGAGCCCGCCTTATCACCGACCCGGGCAGCATGAGCTCTGGTACTTCAACGCTTCGCGCGGGCATTGGAATTGGGAGTCTGAGCGCTGAAACTTTCTTCAGGACTTTGGGGTGTAGGGTGTAAGGAGTTTAAGGGTTGAAAGGTTAAAATCTGCAGGGTTGGGGTTGGAGTCGGATTTCCAGGGATTGAGAGGGTCCTATATGCTCCGATGTCAGGGTCCGGAAGGGGGACCATTGCATATCTTGTGAGCTCCTCCTGTCTGAAGTTTGGACTATGCAGGATCATTCGCTTTCAGGTTTAGTGGGTTTAGAAGCTAGAACCTGCAAGCCCGCAGTTGGGCCCTCAACACCAAAAGCTCTCGTAAATCGGGGCCTTCCGCGCCGGTATAAACTTTACTTTAAGTCTTCAATAGGGAGGCATCCCAGATCCGCAAAGTCTTACCTAAACCCAGACCCCTGCAAGCCCCCCCCCCACCGAAACCACTTAGACTTGTTCTAGTCGTTTCGGGCCTTGCCTGAACAGAGTGGAAAGCCAGATGATAAACCATAGCTCCCATCATATGACGGTAGGATGCTTTGTATCATATCACTTCATCAGGCACCAGTATAAGGATCCTCTAACCCTGACTCCGAACCCTGACCCCCCCATTCCCAGAACCTGAATCTTAGGTCGTGAGCCTCAGACCTAGAAAGTCCTTGATCCTTGACCCGAAAAGCCACAACTGAAGGCCTACATCTTGGCACTAGGTTAGAGGATTGGGGAATCATGCCTGCTGCCTGCAAGAGGTTGGGACCATCGCTTGCACCATCCAGGCCAGGCTAAAGCTAGAGTCTCGGGCTTGAGCTTAGGGTATCTGGTCAGGGTGTATGGTAGTGGGGCTAGGTTTGAGGGCATTTAGCCATTGGCAGGGTGCTGGAGTTTAGATGTTTCAGGTTTAGGGGCGTTTAGGCTTCAGGTGTGCGACATCCCTGCGAGTTGAGAAACACTTCAGATGGCTTTGGGTTGGAGGTTTCGGGTTTGAGGGTTGGGTGCTTTGCGGTGGCTGGTTTTGCCTCCGAAGAGACAAGAGCAGTATCCAAGATAGCGGCGTGTCAGCTGCGTGGTGGTAGTAATGGCACGGGCCAGGCTCCAAAAGCGCACATGACCTTTCCAGGATAGGCCACCTCGTGCTTACCAATCAAATCCCGGAATCCCGGAGCCTCTGAGGGAGGGCATGGACCCTAAAAATGAAACCCTTCAGCCCTAGAGCACCTGAAACTCCAAAGCCGCCGCAGATGCTGATATCCATCGTGACCATGGTCAACAGAGAATGTCGTGACCCTGATTTTAGGGTTCCTCGATCTTTCAAGAACTACAAATACTGATTCTTTGACACCCCACATGGTCTGGCTAGGCTTTAGCGGCGGGGATGGCTTGTGTAGCTTGCCTTGTCCTGCCAAGGGACCAAACCTCCACCTTAGATCCACGTCATGCAGCCCAAGCTATGAACCAGAACCTGTAGAACGCACTTTGTAGGCCTTCTCAGTTCTACGAGGTTTTTCACGAGGTTTTTGAAACTGCAAATAGACTTCATCGAATGTTCAGCCTAGAATCATGCATCGCTGAGGCTTTCGGGCTTAGGCTTTAGGTAACCGGTCAAAGGAGCTGGAAGAAGCCTTGAAAAGCCCTGGAGAAAAGCAGACTCGGTAGACTGTGCGACTGTGCAGAATGCTCAACGAGCTCTAATACGGGGAACTGTGACTGCCTGATTACCTCTTCCAGTCAGCGAGTATCAGCTTCGAATTTGGTGTGGAGCCCTGGTAGTAGAGAGACATTGGAGTGGCTCTTGCAGATCAGTATCGGATGCCGACCCAGCAGGGTGCATGGCAGAGCATCGGCTTTTGCAGGAAGCAGGCTGTCCCCTCGCAAAACGAAATGCCAAGCCAGGGGATTAAACCGAGCCTCGGTGATGCTCCCTGCCAAGCCCTAAGGTTTGAACATGTTTGGACCCAACACCTAGAATTTGTCACAGTTACAGCCCTATTACACCAAGGACCCAACCCTATCACTCCAAAACCGTGAACCGCAAGACTCTGAGTTTGGGCTTGCGGGGTTGCTCGTCATTCTGGCATGCGCTAAGACTTGCCCTGACCTTAATGTTCCTTTTTACTTTTACACTTTGTGCAATGATGATGCCCATGATGTTGGAGCTGCAATTGGCTACTGATCCGCATGAAATAGATTGCGCCTTGCATCATGCCATGCAGCGATGGCCCAAACCGCGCATGAAACCCTGCACCTAGCAACCTGCGAAACCAAACACCGCAAGCCGAGGCCAAGAATACACTCTCTGTGCCAAAGAGGTCCTGTCACTGGTGTGCCCGCCTGCAGTTTTTTGGGGTTTCCTGGATTGCCAGTGATTCTCAGCGGGCCTCAGCCTCGGACGCTATCCCGCTCAAGCTCCAAGCTTCCAAGGCCCCAAAGCCATAGCCAGCCAGCACTAAATCTTCAAAGCCTAAACATTTTGGGCCATTTCTCTGTAAAGTCTGTTCTGCTTTCAAGCTTGAGATGCTTCCCGCAACTTCCGTTCAGGGCTAAGGGCGCTGAAGCGCATACCCTCAGCCTCTATGATGCCAGGTCTTCATTTCCCCTTGCATATGGTACATCTTGAGCGTCATCAGCCAGTATGACGACCGACTCCTGGCTGTAACTGAAGCTCGCGGGCGTAGGGTCCGGGGTAGCTAAGCCGTTACAAGGTATTGTATGACTCTCCCCAAGGCCCGCAGCCCAGGTTTCACGTAAACTTAGCGACAATGTTCATCGCTGAGCACACCAGAAGTTCGGCCGAAAACCCTAGGATGGGCTTGTGGTTGGGAATTTAATTTCTGCATAGTACGATCATTCCGACTAGAGTTACTATTGCTTCATCGTGATGCCAGATGAACCTCTCTGTACTCGGCTTCGTGCGCCCAGAACGCACGAAGCACAGGTCCTGACCCCAAACCCCGAGCCCGGCTCTGAGCCGCCCCGGAATGAGCTCTAAACTCCCGATGGAGAGTCTCGGGATTCTCCCCCCAAACCCAACGCTACCCAAATCGGCTTTTACAACTTCAGGTCATAAGCAATACTACAATCTGAGGCCTAAGGCCCTAGTCCTAAGCCCCGAACCCACCACGGCCACCGGCACTCCGCGACCCTTATTCGTGAAACGCCGATCCAAGCTACTTCCTACAGTGCTCCATGCAAGGATGTACGGATTTATCATGCAGAAACGTTCGAACACCTCTTCCAAAAGCTCATAAGCGGGCTCCAGTCTTCCAAGATGGGGGTGCAACCGTGCACGCATCAGCTCGAACCCTGCAAATCTCGTACCTAAGCCTTGTATCCTAAGAACCTTCCCTGAACTCCACACCC